TTATAATAAAATTTATAATGAATTTTAAGTAAAAATCAAAAAAAATCGATAGGTTTAATAATAAAAATTTATGTTAATAATTAATTAAAATTGTTTAAAATTGCAGGCAAATTTGCCTGCAATTTTTTACCATTAAAGGGATAATATATCAAAATTTGAGCTAATTTTAAAAACTGATTGATGAGAAATTTAAAATAAAAATTTTATAAAAGTTTACAAAAAATATATTAAAGTTTTGCACATGATCATTACTGTTAAAATTCTCAAAATCTAGTTCAAACTAAACCAAAATTTAATATATTATTAACATAATAAGATATAAAAATATTTAATTTGAATTACAGGTAGTTGAGAAATCAAATATATTATTTAATTTATAAAAAATTGTTAACAAAAATTTATGTTATTATTTATATTGATATTCTTAGAATCTATTGATTTGAATTATCTCAAAGTTTTATATGTGATAGGGCTAGATTGTGATTAAAATATAAAATAGAAGCAACAGTCAGTATATGCAATTTCTCTTACAGAATTCTTTCACTTCTTTCACTCTAACCGTTCATAAAATTCAGAGTTTGATTCTTCTGAAAGTGACTCTTGCATTAGATAGAAACATATTTTCACAGTCAGACATACATCTGAAATAACATTGACATATCACATCTTGATTATTTTGCAAAATCATTTTAATTGTATAAAAAATAAAGTTTTATATCCAAAAATTATAATTGTGATCATTTCCGATACAAATTAATTGATGACTGGCTAAGTTTATAAATAAACATTTATTATTTTTAAAATAATTACAAAATTGGTCAATTTTTCAAAGCCACAAATTTGTCAAACATTACATTGTGTTCAGCACTTCCAGAATATATTAAATTGTAATTTTTTTTTTATTTTCAAATAACTACAATTTAAAACTATTTTTTCAAACTAAAAAAATGTTCAATTCTATTATAATAATTATCCAAACTCAAACCTTACTTATCTCTAAGAACCTTTTCCAACTTATGGCTTTTATACTTTTCAAAACGAAATTGGGGAACCAGGAAAGGAGAACCAAATTAAATTTTGGTTCTAGATGAAAATTAAAAGGATAACGCTTGTCTCCTTTATATTCTGGTGAAATAGGCCTAAGTAACCTGTTGGAAATCTCAACTTATCCGAATTTATTTTCTCTTTTCTCTTTGCGTCTATGGACGACAATAATTGGATATCCGTTTCACAACAAAATTTGAAAGAAATTCTTGCAGTAGCTGATGATTTCTACCGTGCTCCCTTACATTTGTAATATAATTTTAGAGTGGTCTTGGTGGTGGTTGTCCTGGTGGTGGAGGTGGTGGTGGTAATACTGTAGTTGTTGTTGATGTTGCGTTTGCTATTTATTGCTGCTGCTGGGATGATGGTTGTTTTAACACTTAAGATTTATTAATTTTTCTAAATTTGTAATATAGATATTTTTTAAAATAAAATTTTGTTCATCTCATACACCAACACCTAATACCAAGTCGGTAGCCGCTTTTTTTATAACATTTTAATGCTGGGCGTGCCAAATCATTCGCTTTTAGCTTACTGACGGTTTGAATTAAAGATTCTTTAGAGTTTATGTCATCCATCTATCTATAACAAATACATTGTTATTAATATCTATTAAACTGTAGTTTGAACTTTTTATAAAAATATCTTATATATATTCTCTTAGGTTTATTATCAAAATAAAAGAATCTTTAAATTCATCGTTTTCATAAATTCTCTGGTCTTATTCGGTACCGTGTAACAAAATGATGATCATAAAAGCTAATTTAAGATGATGCATATCCAAGATTTCGATAGTTGAAGGCTCAAATAACAAAATGTATTTATCACGAATCCCATTCAAAAATCGTTTAGTAAAGAATATGTCAGTCTTTATAAATAGTAATTATCATATATTAATTGACCTTTTTACACCAGCTAGCAAATTTTTTTTCAAAATGCAAAGGGAAAAATTCTTGAGACTCGGGTTTTTCATATATTTTCCATTTAGGTAATTTAATACTCGCTGAAAGTTTCTTTTTAAATAAATAAATATTTATTTAATCATGTACCTGAATCATTTTATGACGTTCATGGACTTCACCATAGTATATAATACTTCCTCTACTTCAATTGTATATTAATTCCATTGTAATTACAAGAATATTATAAGATAGAGCATCATGAGGTTGAATTGATGTAAAAGCAGCGCTATAGTTGACAATTACTTCATTATGCTTCTTCCTAATCAATATGATTAATAAAATCCATACAGTAAGTAATCGTATTTTTTTTTATTTTTTTTAAAAAAAAATTACTAACGTTAATATTATTGATCATAATTAGTTGATTGAAACAACCACACCAAACCCAAACTTATTTTCTATTTCATCTGTTTTTTCTACGTTACCCTCATCTCCGAAACCGAGTTCCTGTTCAATCATTTGATATTCCTTTAACCATTTCTCTGACCTTCGAACGAAATTCCACGAGAATTATAGCCAGCACTTTCATCAATAAAAACTCTTGGTATCACTAAAGATCCAGTTCCTCATACTTCTTCCTAGACATTTCCAATAATTTTCCAAACACTTTCACAGCGTGAACCAAATCCCCATTATACATACTACATATACTGTATTGGTTCCTTTAATTCCAGTAACTTCCTGACGACCCCAATTCCACTGCCATAAATCAATACGTCATTTTTTTTTTTTAAAAAAAAAAGTAAATATACTAATAAGTCAAATTTATTGTTTTATTGAAGATGAAATTTCAACAATATGAACTATTTTATCAATATATATTCTTCTAATCATCAATAGGTCCTGTATAACTGTTACAATTTTATTAATATACTCCTCTCCGGACCCTAATTACAATAGTTTTTATTTTACTGGTAAGAGTATGAATTATCTGTTTTTACTATTAATGCTAAACATTTAAAAAAATATATATTTATATATTTGTATTTACCTCAGGAGGAATATTTCAAGTTATCGTTCTTCTACATTGTAACACCAATTAAACGAGGGATGGTACTTTGCAGATAACGGTGTTAATACAGAATCTCCCATGATTATACGATTTTGATGAACTTTCAAATTCATGTGTCGTTGCTGTTAATCATTCAAAGATATAACGACAATCACCACTTCGTCATTTCATCAAAATCTCGAGAAGATATTTATCTAGATGAAATTAATATCCTATCAGTTTAAGGATAATTACTTACCACCTGTTTCTTCTATCGTCAATTCCTGGTCAATCTCAAGGACCTAATGCATCATATCAAACTTTTAAGATAGCAATAATATGTTGTTTTTAATTAAGGGATGAACTAATGAGCTTGTCCTCCCTCCGGTATTGAAAATTTCAAAGTCCTAATAATGAATGTAAGCAATCTCATTTTTTTTAACTACTGTGTATATAATCGTTTTTTCTCTTCTTGAGTTTTACTGAAGGTTATAATTTCTTGAATAAAATGCAATTAAAAAATTCTCGAGATGATCTATGTATCATCTTTTCATCACCTTCACCAAATTTTTATTTTCCAAATTTAATTTATTTATAATATTTAATGTCCATATTCCTTTTTATTATTCGTTTGTAGCCAGCATCTTTTTTTTAATCAAAAAAAAAAATTATGGAACACAAATGAAAACATTTCGCGATAATTAAATCGGACACAAACAAATTACCCTTGAACATGCTCTTAATTATCAAATGTTGCAACAATTTCTTTATTTTACTTGAAAGCGAAAGGAATATTGATATATGGATTGTGGCATCCGTTGGATCTGATGACAATTATCACGATATTATATTCAAGAACTTGTGAAGAACTTCAGTGGATCAATAATGAAATGCCATTTTCAAACTTCTGTTGAGGTGTATTCCATTAGAAGTATATCATATTTTGATAGTCACGTCTTATCGCAATAGGAACGCAAATATCTTACGCGAAAGCGAGTCGAGGTACAGGTTGTAAGTTTATAAGAAATTTTATTCGCGATTAGGATAGTTGTAAAAAAGAATAAAGTTATGAAATATGTGATTAGCATAACAAATAATGGATTTTATAGTTTTGTATGTTAAATGTTAGGGAAAGATTTGTTTATTTTACACTTACTTATTGTTAAAGGTGCGTACCATTTTTAATTTCTTTTTAATAATGATTTTGGAAAAAAATAATTTTTTTTAATTTTGGTTATGTAATTAATACGTAAAATAAATTAATTTCTTAAGATATAACAAATATCTCCTATGATTGTAATATCAGATCATGTGAATCAATAAATTTTATTATTTTGATTAAAACATTTTGTGATATAAGAACAAATAATCTTGTTTGGCTGATTTAATGCAAATTTACATGGTGCAGCACAGAATAGTTTTTAAAATTCCCAGAATTTCAAATCAAACAACTAATCCTAACCTACCCCATTATACCCTCCTTCTTACACAACTTCAATACCATCTCTAACCCTCCTTACCATACGACTATTTCTCACTTACACTGGATACGAAAACCTTCCTAATTACATTACTTTTTTTTTTTTTTAAAAAACTTGCAAAATCTTTATTAATATAAAATTAAATTTATACAAATACAAATCAAAAATAAGAAAATACAAAAACTTCTATCTAATATCTACAGTCTAAACGCGATACATTACGGAACGAATTTTGATACTTTACAGTATGTTGTAAGTCCTTTTCTGACGATTTCATTCATGACCATACCATATTTATGGTAAACGTTTATTGTTGAAAATCTTTTTTCCATTCCGTAAATTTTTCAATTTCTCGTGTGAAGATGCTCGATTTTTGCCATGATAATCTTTTTTGAAGAAAATTTCGAAGAATCGAATATATGCGATATTATCAAGAAGCGATAATATCGCGAAAATTAAAAAGATTTAACGAAAAAAGGTAAGGGTAGTTAAAATTAAAACGTTTAAACGTTCTTGGCTGACGTTTATAATATAAAAGGTTATTGTCGAATTCTCGTAAGAATTTGAACAAATAAACATGACGTTATATAATATAAAAGGTTATTATCGAATTCTCGATCCATTTAATGTAAAAATAATTGAGTAAAGTTGTTCAGCGGATTCGAAAATACGTTAAAAAAATTTTTTGATACAAAAGTAATTTTATAAATATTTGTAAAGATTTAGATTTTTTAGGAACTGGTAAGGGATAACATTAATCAAATCTACTGTCATTTAAATAACTTTTTTTACTATCTTTGGTGAAAATTTTTCTTTGAACTAGAATCTTTTTTTTTGTTGTTAACAGATAATCATTATTTTTGTTCTCTATAATGTTGTAATCTTACGTTGTAACCGGTTATATCAAAGTGAAGTAAAGCGATAAAATCTGCATCACGGTAACATTTATATTCTCAGAACACAAACCGAAATCTTTGGATATCTTTGACTAAAAGGATTAAGAATTCTGACTTTTTTTGCACTACTTAACATACTGCTTATTTTTTTTTTTTTTATTGCACAATAAACCGGTTTCAAAATTATGTGTAAGGGGACTGCCATTGTAAAAAATTTTTTGTGACCGTTTATTTGGAAGGCTTATCAGAAATTTCTTTTAGATTTTTTTTTTTTTATTGATAAGGGGGCTTCGCATTAATATTGCTATAAAGGGTATATTTACAAAAGGATGTGTAATACTCATCTAAACTCTGTTTTTTTAAAAGAATTTTTTTTGGCGTAAAGATTGAGATAATCAATCGTAAATCTCCCTTTTAAAAAATGGAAAGTTCATTTGTTTTTGATGACGAGTCACCATCTTTTGGTGTATATTTTTATTTTTTTAAAAAAAAAATTGGGGATTTTAAAAATTCCATTTGGCGCGCACCATGAAATCGTGAAATTTTTTTTCCCATAAAATATAGTTTTTATGTTTTATATGTTAATTAGATTATTCGATCAAGATTCTGCTATTTCAAAGTCACAGGACACAATTTTTACAGCTAATTTCAAAGGTCACGAGACAGCTCGCTTTTGAAATTAGCTGTAGATCAAGACGTCTTTTTCTTTATGGATTATTTAAGCGAAATATAGTATCAATTTATGGTTGTTTTGTTACTTTTTATTCTTTTATTTTTTGATTATGCCTCTTAAGTGTACATGCGCAGTGTTCAAAGGACTAACATAACTACTTGTTGAATAATCCTTCGAATTCATTATGTTTTCCACATGGTTTGTAAACCCCTTTATCATAAACTTCAACCTGACATGGATTTGTGTTAAGTTGTTATAATAATTCCAAACCCAACTACATTCCTCTGAGCCTCCTTTTTTTCATTGCAAAGGTCTAGTACCTCTTATTATATCATCTTCTTCTACTTCAACAGGTGAAATAATTTTCTCTTTAACGCTTTTTTGTAATAAATCTTCATATTCACTATCAATTATTTGAATATAATTAGTAGCTTGTGTTGAAGACATTTTTATCACGAAAAACACAAGATAGCATGAGAAATTGGAATAAAAACATGCACTAAAACAACTAACATATCTAATCAGATGATTATTTTCTGATCTGGTGAAACTTATCCGTTAAACAGATAATATCTGGCAGATACGGATTATCAGTTTTACATAATAAAACTTTACAAAATGAATTAAAATAACAATTTTATTGAATCAATTATTCAGTAACTTTACTACTAACAACTTTTACAAGTTAATATATATACATTATTTAAGTTTCAAAACTTTATATATAATTTTACTTTAATAAAATAATAATATTAATTATAACACTATTAACAATTATTTTTAGAAATAATTTTTTAAAATTCAATTAAAATTTTTAAATCTATTAAATTTATATAAAAATTTATTTATATAAATTATATGCTATTATAATTAAACTATTATTAATACATTATATTATATTCTTTTAAATATACTTTCTATAATTTTATCATATTTTTATCTTTAAATAATGGAATTTCATTTTTTTAAAATGCAAATAATCTCTTATTTAAACTTTTAATATTCCTTTTTATTTTAGATAAAAAATATTAAAACAATAAATAAATTTTTATTATATAAATTACTGTACTTATTAGAGCTTCTAATGAGTCGAGTCAAGTTGAGTTTTAAAGATAACTTAATTCAACTCAAATTTTTTGACTCGAGTCAAGTTGAGTCAAAAATTTTTTAAAATTTTAACTTAACTTAACTCAAATTATATTTAAATTTAATTCAATTTGAATCAAATTATTTAATTTAAAAATATAAAAAAATAAAATTTTATTTTATTATTTAATTTAAAATTTAATTTAATTAATTAACATTTATTTTTTTAAACAAATATTTATGTTAATAAAATTTATTTATTAAAAATATAATTTAAAATTAATTCGTGTTTCGTGTAATAACCAGACAAATTATAGGGGCAAAATTTGCCGATCTTCTTAATAAAAACAAAAAATTGATTTTTTTAAGATATATGAAATGTCATCAAATTTGGTCTGATCACTACACAAACTAAGCCACTTATACGATAATACCTAAATTACATGTACATTGATTTTTTTGATGACTTTCAAAGAGATAATAATATTATATGCTTGTGAGCTAGTTGGATTCCAATGTTAAAATTTTTACATTTTTGTTATTACACAAAATTATTTATTATAAAGTTTTAAAAAAGTAACGTTTTATTCATATTTATTCATATTTTGGATGTTTGAGCTACTATTGCTGCTTCTTGGCGGTGTTGACTTGTATAATGAGATATCCAATTTTGTATAGTCTCTAATTTCAGAATTTCTTCTTCTTCAATTACGCTATTCTCCACATTTTGCTTTAGTTGAGTAAGCATCCTTTCTGCAATATGTTTTTTACTTTTGTTAATGTTGCCTTCTAAAAAATATCCTTGTAGGAGGTTCCACACTTTTTTAGAAATATGCTTACTACTCCCTTTTTTCCATACTTTTGCGTAGATTTCAACGTCTATCCATAAGACAATGGTCACAACGAAAACTGTGAACTACAAATTTCAAGATAGATGTCAGATCATTATTTGTGATTTTGCAATCAAAAATTTGTATACCTTGAATCCAATATTGTCTTGTTTCCAACCTTGATTGAACTTTTGTCTTTATTTGAGTAGGGATTGTGACTTGATAATGGAATCGATGGATATTTATCATTATCTGTTATTGATAATAGAGCAGAATGTTACAAAACGTGAACAAAACCCTAAAATAATCACTTTTTACACACCTGATATTTTCGCCAAGGTCTCTTCAGCTAATGCTATTTCTAATTCTTTTACCAAATCTCTTTTATTAGTGTTCATATCCTTTACAATTCCACGAGTTTCTAGTTGTTCTTTCACATGATTTTTTTTAGTTTTTTACCTGAATTCCTATATTTTATATTGAATCAGTTATTTATCTGAAGATTATCACAGGTTAAAGTAGGCTCACTAAACCTGAATCATTTAGTAATGAAATTGTCTGATATTGAAGGCGTTGATACATTAGATTTGGTTTTTCAATTATTTTGGATTGTAATTTTTTTAAATCTTTTGGAAAAAAATTTTTGCAAGTGCCAAGATTTGCAATATCCCTTGCTTGAATACAATCAGCATACTCGCCAGTGAGAGGCCATGACCATTCAAACCAACTTGAAATTCCAGATAATTTATTTTTGGCTTTGCTCCTTTTCCGGCTTCTGTAAAAAAGCAGTTTGAAAATTTGCTAATAATTTGACTGATTTTAATTTGATAAAATATCGCATACCTTTTTTTCTATCTGGTTCTAGATGAGATACAGATTTTCTACAAATTTCAGATATTATATTCTCAATATCTTTTCTTGATGATATATCAAATCCCAATTTTACACGTTGATTGATAGCATGAGCAATCTATTCAAATGTGAGGTGAGAAGTAAACTATAATATAATTTAAAATAGATAGATTTAAATAGACCTGAGCATGATGATTATCAATTGTTGTCTTCGCTTTTCTAGGCTCAAGAAATATCTACTTTTTAGGCTAAAATCATACCAATCTGGCCAATATCTCAAAATCATTATTAGATCTGCATTATGATAATGATCTTTATTATCTGAGATAATGTTAACCCACTCTAATTTTTTTTCCATAGATTCAATAACAGCATGAAGACTGGATGCCGTGAACTATACATCTTGATATGAATCATTAGATCAGTGATCGTATGCTTGGATGTCAAGTTCAAGAGAATTTATTTTATGAGTATACACTAATACTGAATGTAAAGTCCATCCCTTTTTTCTGAAAAATTGTTCTTTTATCTCCCTTGCACTTTTAGGTAGTATCTTCATCTTATAATCTACAACTATAAATGCTTCTTTTTCATCTAATTCTAACAAATTCACGTTAAACTGTGCATTTAGATAAACTTTTCATGTTTGATATGCAAGATAATATAGAAGGTGTTCATGGTATTTATTTAGTTCATTATGTAATATAATAGAAGTATCAATTTTCAATTGCGAAAAATTTCAAATAATTGTTTACATTCGACACATTCGCAATTGTATGATTCTGTATAAACGCTAAAAGCATATGGAAAACAGTGGCTGATGCAAGCATTATGAGAAACAGTCCCATTTGCAGAAATTTCAAGTTCTTATTCATAAGACTTTTTAAAATAATGACGCAAATGTTCAAGTTTTTTGATATAATTTTTCTTTGTAATAATAAAGATAGTTTATTTATAATAAAATAAATCAAAAATACATAAGTAAGCTTCGTGATTACATAAATAAATATGAATTGTAAATTGCCTACTTGAAGATTATTGTCTTGAATATTTTTATCAACAAATTGTTTCATATCTACAAAAATTTCATATCCACAATGACTACAAATTGAACAAAGACCACCAAAATTTTCTTGATAAATATATTACTTTCCTTGTAAAAATGTCATAAAAGATGTTCATTTAATATCATCCGGAAATTGATAGCTAAATTTTTCTCATAAAGCTTTTTGTATTTTTGAGATATTTTACTGGAAATCCTAGTTTTAGTTTCTGTTTTATAGCTACTCATTATAACATTATTTTTATCCTCCAAAAATTGTTGTAACTGATCAGATTTTTCTTGAGAAAATTGTTGTACGAGTAAAAACAGGATTTTCAATATATTCAGCACCTGGATCATGTAGTCTTGCATATTGGCATGCTTCATAAATTGTATCTGATGAGGTAATCTAATAATAAAAAAAATTTGAATTGAATATTATTTATCTTCTGAATTAAAGTTCTCAACATATTTACTAACATTCAAATTATTTCTGATTTCATCATATAAAATCTGACCTGCAACAATTGATAAAATACGCCTCTTACCATCTTGACCGTTTACATTCAATAATTCTTGAATACAATTCCAAAAAGTCTCAATCTGATAACATTCATTTGATATGGGATGAAGAAAACTAAAATCATACAAATTCTGTAATACTGCACAATCTTTATTTGAATTTATTGATCTTTTTCAATATTTAAACTGTAATATAGTTCAAATAGATAAATAAATATTTTTTGTTTTATTATTACTATTTATTCGTACTTATTAATATTTTCATTTCTTACCTCATATTGATTTTGATTATAGGGTGTAATTTCTACATAGCCCATATGTCAAAGCATTGTTCTCCAGGAACAAAGTTCTCATGAATTTATTTGATACTCAGATCTATATACTTGTATCAAAGAAGTTCGTAATTCAATAATTTCACTTTGTTGATTTTTCCAATTCTTGATAAATCCAAGCTAATTGACATCAGATTTTGTTTTTTTCTTGAGATGGTATTCAAAAATTTGTTGTAATAAAAGTACATTATTCCATTTTATGATAGAATTCGTAGTTAGCCAATTAATGCTTATGTATGTTTATTATCAATACCAAACAGATTGTTAGCATCAAATTCTGGTTTGTAATCTATTTTAGATCAAACATCTGTTGGATTTTTTTCACAAACAATTGTTTGAAGTTCATTTCCTTCATAAACAGTAAGAATACATTTTTTATCAATAAAATTTTGAATGTATAAAAATTGTTTTTTTCTTATATTATCAATAAAAGATGACTGATATCTAGTACTAGAGCTCTGAACAGGTCAGGTCAAATCAGATAACCTGTCAGGTTGACCTGAAATATTCAGATTAGATTAACAAAATATTGACCTGATATCAGGTCAGATCAAACTGTTGACCTGACCTGATTGACCTGTTGACCCGACTATAAAAATAATAATTCAGATATTATAATAATCATATTAAAATTAAAAAGGATTTTATATTAATAATAATTTATTAATATACATAAATTATAATAATTTGTATCAAATTGGTTATTTTTTAATCAGATATAGGTTAACCCATAAATGTTGATACTCAATATCATAAAAAGATTATAGGCTTCATTTAAGTATTTTTTTTTAATAATAATAAGCTATTATTTAAGAAAACCAATAGTTTATAAAACATTACAAAAATAGAAATTTTTTCTCAATTATAACTTTAGTGATATAATGTTCATATTTTAAAAATTTTACAAAATCTCTAAATAATTATTTTAATATAATTAATTATTTATTTTATTTTAAATTTCATTATAAAATGATTTTTTTTAAATAATATACTATAGAAAACCTATTTTGTAAAACTTTTAGATTAAAATGTTCTAAAAGAGCGGATCTTATTAAGATTATATATCTGCATTTTACTTCTATTACAATATCTATTTCACTTAAAACTAAATTCCCACCTTCAAAATTTTCAAAAATTACTATTACACAAAAAGCATATTTGCAATCATTTTTATCTTTATGGGAATCAGTAGCACCTTATTGAATTGAATTTAATTTATCATTTTCATCTGCTATATTTAAATTTATAGCAAAACTTTTAAAAAATGATAAATTAGTTTCAATATCTGGTAATTTTATATTAAAATCATTATATAATTCTGGAAAATTAATTCTAATTAAATTTTTAATTAAGGATTCTAATTCGACGATTAATGGAAATAATATATCTTTTAAATAAAGATAAAATTCAAAAGTATTTTTTGAATATAATACCTTACGGAAATATTCTTGTTTAATATCGATCATCTTATTAAATTCCTTATTATTCTTAAAAGAATTATATAAAGCTTTACTTTTTCTTTAATATTTTTAAAATTAAGCGAATGATCTTTCATATAATTATGTATAAAATTAGCTGTATAACAATACTTTTCATTCATAGTTTGTAATATATAATTATTATGTCCTTGCATTATCATATAACCTTCATATATCGTATATGTATGTCTTGAATTTTTAATTGAAAATAAATTCTTAATTATATCTTTAAAATTATTTGTAATATAATTAAGTTCAATATTAAGTTTTTCAAATAATTGATTCCTATTATCTGAAAAAAAATTTTTCTTATCAAAAAAGTTTTTTATAATTAAACTTAATATATATAATTCATTATTAATTAATTGATAAATAAAACTATTTTCATTATTATTTATCTTAAAATAATTACTTATAGGATATTTATCAATATTATGATTATATTTTTTAATATTATTTTGTAATCCTTCTATGTTATTTTCAACATTTAAAGGAATTACAAAACCAATATCTAATTCTTTAACTTTTCGATCAAATTTTTTAATTGATCTTCAATCATTTTTATTTAAAGAAACAGAAGAGGTAAAGTAGATATAGATGAAGAGGTAAATGTAGAGGTAGAGGTAGAGGTAGGAATAGAGGTAGAAGCGGAAGTAAAAGAGGTAAAGGTAGAAACTAAAAGTTCATTTAAATTTCCATTTGTATATGATGATATTATTTTCATTTTTTTGTTAATTAAAGGATCAGTCAAAAGGTATAAACGATTTGATAATACTTTTGCTTTTGTAAAAGCTAAAGAAGATTTAGTTTTTTTAATTCCAATTAATTCTGTAGTCATATTGATTTATTTTAAATTTGTTTGAGAAAAAATATAATAAATATTAAATAAAATACAAAATTACAGTTTTATCTCGCTGTAATTTGTATTAAAAAAAGAAAATATAGATACAAAATCAGTTTTATCTCACTGAATTATACCTATATATATAGAAATAGAACTTGTATGGGAGAAATAGTTTGGCCCCAAAACCATATAAAAACTATTCCTATACTTTTGGTTCTAATCAAAATAATTTACCATAAATTTGTGATTTAAATAT